ATACCCGAGGAGGGGGCTCTGCTGTATGTGGTCCCTCCCCGTAGCCCTGGGGAGCTCCTCCAGGGTATGGACCATGTCTTTCAAGGATGCAGCTTTGACATCGAAGCACATGGCCAGCAGCAGGCTTTTGAGAGATGTTCCAGGCAGCTGTGGGCTGAGTTTGGAGGTAGACGCTGAGGATTTTGAAGCGTCTCCTTTACATAACTATAAGATGAGGTAATTGTCTTCCTTGTTCAGGAGGATGTGGTGAGTATAAAATGTGCTAACGTGTGTGCCAGCACTTTAGAAAGGCTGGTACTGTATCAAGGGAGGTCATGTTGTCCACCTCTGTTTCCTCTATCACCCTTTTCAATTCTCACAGTCCCTCTGAGACTGTCTTTACCATTTACTTCTGGCCTGTTCTCTCCCACTTTCCTTCCTTCCTTGGGCAGAGGAAGGCATGAGTTAAAAACATCTGTGTGTCTGGTTCCATATCTCTTTGTCTCTGTCACTTCCAGATATGTATTTGAAATGCTGTTGTGTCTCTCTCAATCTGTGTATGCATGTTAGGACCGTCGGGGAGAATATGGCTCCACGCTTGATGGGAACACGCTGCTCTGGGTGTGTTTATGGCATCTTTCGTCACTTCTCCTGCTGTACATGTGCTCTTCCTGAGTTGTAAGCATTTTTGATAATAAGAAAAATGTTCTCTTCGATTAAACCTAATATTTGACCTCCTACTACCCTGATAAAACAACAGAGTTTTTGCACCCAGGGTACCCTGCCTTTTTTCTAATACCTGGTTGACGGTACCACAGAATCAGTTCAGAGGTGAAGTTTTCAGTGCAAGATGCTACTTGGGCTGGTGTATGAGGGTAAGAGATGAAACTGAATCCTAAACAGTAGAAGACCTGAGCTTCTTTGCTTACATTAACATCTTCTTTTTCCTTTGCCCTTTCACCGTTAAAAAAAAAAAAGATGACCTGTGTGAGAGGGTGGGGTGAACAGTAGGGAGAGCCTTCTAGTAATGTATCTTGGCAGAGTCCTGACACCTTTTGTGGGGAGGGGCCTCGTTAAGCTAAGTCTCCCCTGAAAAGCAGTCACGTTAACCTCTTTTCGCCTGAACTTTTGTGGTTTTTTAAACCAGGCTTAGGTTGGAGGCTCTTGCAAAGGTAGAAATGTCTTCTGTGGACACAAAGGAATGAAAACATGATTCATTGAGTTTTTGTCATTGTGATGGAAACAAGGCAGGGAGCTGTCCTGTGGGGTGTGCTGAAACTCCTCCGGGCCTGGGAGGTAGCAGAGGGTCTTGTTCAGGTTACTTACTAGGGGCTGGATTCTGTGAGCAGCTCGGCCCCATGGCACTTCCTGTCTCCCTTTCACAGATCCCTTCCACCCCAGAGCCTCAAGTCATCGAACTACACTTTTGGAAGCCACTGTCTTTTCAGACCCATCGCTGTGTAACAAAATAATGAGAAAATTCTTCATTAGATCATGGAAATGCAGAGGAGCCCCTGTTGGATTAGCTGACACACTGCTGCTTGGAAGAGGAGCAAAAAATGCTGGTCTAGCAGGGGTCTCAGCTCAGTCTCATTCTCCCTGAGCTCAAGGGTCAGGCCGGGGATGGTGGGGAGGCAGGCAGAACATGCGTATGTTTATTCAGCCCAGCAGCACTCACTGAGTGCCTGGTGATGGAGCAGAAAGACGTAACCTTCCCACCTCCTAGGAGGGGAGGTGAACAGATGTGAACAAGAGAACAGGGTTGCTCACCGTGGTGGGAGGGCCAGAAGCTGCAGGGCAGCACTCAGCCCTGCCTCCGTCCTGACTCAGCCTGGGGATGGAGACGAAGGAGCAGGGCTCTCTTCAGGTGGGGATGCTCGAGCTATAGGTCTTAAAGGAGGAGGGGCTTTAAATGGGTGGAGGGAACCGGGAGGGGTGACAGGAAGGGCACGCCGGACAGGGGAGTGCCTGCAGATGTCCTTTAAAAAGTCAGTTCAGGGCTTCCCTGGTGGCGCAGTGGTTGAGAGTCCGCCTGCCGATGCGGGGGACGCGGCTTCGTGCCCCGGTCCGGGAGGATCCCACATGCCGCGGAGCGGCTGGGCCCGTGAGCCATGGCCGCTGAGCCTGCGCGTCCGGCTGTCTACAAAAGCAAAGGAGTATATACATGCTAGAGACAAAAAAAAAAAAAAAAAAAAGTCATTTCAGCAGGTCTTTGCAAGAAGCGAGGATCCTCATTTGGGGAGTCTCTTAGCATGGCCAATACCGAGGTCTGTGCCTGTTTTTGTAAATAAAGTTTTATTGGAACACAGCCACACCCATCCTCCCCCTGTCGTCTGTGGCTGCTTTCCTGCTACATCCCAGACAGAGACCATGTGGCCTGCCCAACCTAAAATATTTATTGTCCAGCCCTTTACGGAAAAAAGTTTGCTGACTCTTAGCGTAACATTTTTTTTATTTCTTGAGACTCTTAAATGAAGAGGACCCACACTGCCAGCAACTAGGCTTTGCCTGCAGCCTTCACGGACCTGCTGGTTTTTTTTTTTTTTTTTTGCGGTACGCGGGCCTCTCACTGCCGTGGCCTCTCCCGTCGCGGAGCACAAGCTCCGGACGCGCAGGCTCAGCGGCCATGGCTCACGGGCCCCAGCCGCTCCGCGGCATGTGGGATCCTCCCAGACCGGGGCACGAACCCATGTCCCCTGCATCGGCAGGCGGACTCCCAACCACTGCGCCACCAGGGAAGCCCCCTGCTGGTTTATTTTAACACTCGGCGATTTCTCTTCGTCCCGCACGGCCATACCTCCAACTCACCTCATTTCAATAACTTCTGGCTCTGAACATCTGGAACTAGAGTAATACCTCTTGTGCGTAAAGAAAGGGGAATAATTTACCCCTGAGTATCTCAGATGTCTGATTATCCCAACCTTTGGCTGTTTTGGACTCTGCTTAATTTCTCAGAACCTCTGCTGCGTGTTACTTGCTTAAGTAGTAAACAAAATTGGAATTTAAAATAGTGATAGGAGCAGTAGTCATTGGAAAGCACTTCTCTTCTTTGGTGAGGGAGCCCGTCTGTCAGTGGATTCTGGAGCTGGCTGTCCCCGTACACATGAGAGAGAAGGGGAGCTTTAGGGAGAGCCACCATTCAAGCCTGCGTTTATTTTAAAAACAAAGAGAATGCATTTCCAGAAGCATGTGCATTTGAAATATTGCTTTCCTGGATATAGTGAGTGAAAGTTGCGTGGAATTATACAGCAAATGCCAACTTTTAAGCACCTGCCATGGTCTGTGGTATCATGTGATGGGAGTGCCAGACCAGGCTTTTTACAAACGTTAACTTAAATATTTAATAAGACCTGGATGAAATAGAGGTGCAGTTATTCCAATTTTGCAGATGGGGAAACAAAGCCTGCAACAAACTAAGTGTCTTCCACGTTAACAACTAACTGACACTGCCTCCGACCTATGATAAGGAGGATATTGATTTTACACTCTACTTATCCTTAGGTTGATATTGTAGTTTGGGACCTAATTTCCAATTAGTACTTGGTATAGGAAACTGTCAGCAGTGAATAATTGGGACGTTTTCCAAGCATGTGCAGAAAATATAGTTGGTCCAAAAACAGAAGCGTGTAGGTTTAGGGTTGTCGGCCTTTCCAGCTGAAATGATCGTTCCTAAACAAAAAAACTGATCGTAACTATCTTCTCCTTAAAACTTTTCACTGCTCCGCCACCCAGGCCCTTAGTACAAAGACCAGAGTCTTTATTTTGGTGCTTGAGGCCTTTCTGGTTGGGCCCTGCCTCTCAGTACCTCGTACTAATTCACTCCAGTCAGACCAGGTCCTGCATTTGGATGTTTCCCTGAACACCATCTCTACCTTGTCCCTCTACCTGGCTCGCTCCTTCATCTTCACATCTCAGCTGAGATGTCACTGGATCCAGGGAAGCCGCGTGTCCTTCCCTTGCCCCGCCCTAACATAAGGCCTTCTACACTGCTGTTCAGTTGTTTACTGGTTTGTCTGTTGTCCATCACTAAAGCTTCTGGGAGGCATTCTTTTTAGTTTTGACTCTGTAGTTACAAGGAATAGGAATCTACTCTAGCTTGCTAATACAAAGGGAGTTTATTGGGAGGAAATATTGGAAGAATAAGGAGATCTTGGTGGAAATTTAAGAACTGGGTCTGTAAGAAGCTGCACCTTGCAGATGGCTTTCTGAGAACATGGTTCTCTTCACCTTTCTCTCTCCTGTGGGCTGCCTCAGCTCAAGCTCATGTCTGTTTTGTTTTATTGAAGTATAGTTGATTTACAGTGTTGTGTTAGTTTCAGGTGTTCGGCAGAGTAGTTTCGGTTACACACACACACACACACACACACACACACACACACATCTATTTGCTTCAGATTCTTTTCCCTTATAGGTTATTACAAAATACTGAGTAGAGTTCCCTGTGCTATACAATAGGTCCTTATCGTTTATCTATTTTATATGTAGTGTGTATCTGTTAATCCCAGACTCCTAATTGATCCCCGATCCCCCCCCCACTTCTCCTTCGGTAGCCATAGGTTTGTTTTCTATGTCTTTGAGTCCGTTTCTGTTTTGGAAATAAGTTCATTTGTACCACTTTTTTTAGATTCCATAAGTGATAAGCACACATGTTCATGAAGCTGCTCTTGGCCTCAGTTTGTCCTCACAGCCTAGCCTGGCCTTGCTGGCCCTGTGACCCTCCTAATCTCATGGCTTCATTTCCTGCCCCCCCACTCGTATGGTTTCTCAGTTTCCCAGTTGCAGATTTTCAGGCAAGCACTCTGGTTGGCCCGGCTCACCCTTTGCGGCTGGGCCATGCATGTCACAGGTCTCTGGCCATCCTGGAGGTGGGCTCTGGTTGGGTCAGGTCCTCCCTGCAGACCAGTCAGAACTGTCGTCAGCTGGAGGGGCTCCCAGGATAGACTTCTCTCTTCCTTTTCTCTCTCTGACCCTCACTTGCAATAAACTTGATAGTATCCTTTGTTCTTTTTCCTCCTTTTCAGATATCATTAATGGAGCTCAAGAAAAATGCGTATTGCCTCCTATGGATGGCTACCCCCACTGCGAGGGGAAAATCAAGGTAAGGCAGAAGGGATGTCCATTCGTCCCCATCTTCCTTAATCTGCACGAACAGCCCCTTGCTTCCCACCCCACTCCTTTCTTCTCCCCAGCGATACAGATGGGCAAGCGAGCCCTTTAAGGGAGTCATTTAAGGGGCGCCTCAGTCCTGCCAGTTAGGGGCTGTGGCCATGACAACCCTTCCCTGCTTATGCCAGCTCTGTGGGGTTAGTCAACAGTGACTAAGTGGTCAGACTGAAAGGGCTGGGCCATTGCAGGCACCTGCGGTGGCTTTGAAGCTGTCACTACCACCCGCTTCCCATCCTCCAGCAGGTGATCCTTCAAGGGCCGAAGACAAGGGGCTGCCATTATTTAGTATCCACCTTCCCTCTGCCCCAGGCCTCTGCTGTGAGGTCACCAGATTGAGATTTCAGCGTCACATTTGCATGTGCAGTCGAGTACCCAGACACTCTTGGCCACTCTTTGACTCTTAACACCATTTATACGGCCGGCCCTTGGGGAGACCACTCCCCTTCGCAGTAGTTTGCAGAGAAAAGTTAGTGTTCAAGCGCCACGTAGGATGGTGAGACCAAACCACAGAGCATTTACCTAGCTTCCATTTGGGACTCACCGCACGCTGAGCTCCTGCCCTCGTCCGTGCGCTCTCTTCCAGGCACTGTGCCGAGGCTTGTGAAACTGCAGTTCTCCGGGGAGGGGACTCTGATGCCGGGGCACTTCATTAGGCACTTGTTCTTGATAAAACGCTCCTTGCCTTTGCTTCTCCCGGGCTGCACTGCAGGGTGTGTCTCTGTCCACTCCAAAGGCCTCTGCTAAGGCCCAGCTCAAGCCACGATCATCCAAGAGCTGAGCATCTGTCTCCTGACCTCAGCCCAGTGATCCTGAGCTTCAGGCCACAGCTTGAGCCACACCCCTCCCACTCCGTGCCCTCACCGTCTCTGTTGGCAGGTGTGCCTGGCTGCAGAGATCAGGCTGCTCATCAGCGTTCTCACCTTCTCTGGTTGTTTCAGTGGATGAAAGATATGTGGCGCTCGGATCCCTGCTACGCAGAATACGGAGTGGATGGGTCCACCTGCTCTTTTTTTATTTACCTCAGTGAGGTGAGTAGCTTCTTGTGGCTTTGGGTGGGGGTGGATGGTCTGTTCTGTAGCTGAGCCTGGAATCTGAAAGGCTGAAAAACGGGTATTGTTTTCACACGAAGGGCCTATGTTTTCCTTCTGCATGACTCTCCTCTGTCCCCTAGTAGCATGACTTTTTTTTTTCCCCTTGAGGGAAGAATGGTCTGAGTGCACTATTTAATTTTTTCCCAATTAAAAAAAAAGGTAGTAAAATACACCTAACAAAAAAATGTAGTAAAACTTCTTAACCATAAAGTATAAAGTTCAGTGGCCTTAAGTCCATTCACACTGCGACCGTCACCACCGTCCATCCATCTCCAGAATGCTTCATCTTGCCAACCTGAGACTCTGTTCCCGTTAAACCGTAACTCCACGTTCCCTCCCTTCTCCCAGCCCCGGCAAACACCATTCTACTTTCTGCCTCAGACTCTGACTACTCCAAGTACTCCTATAAGTGCATTGTACAGTATTCGTCTTTTTGTGATGGACTGATCTCACTTCGCGTAGTGTACTCAAGGTTCATCCATGTTGTACATGTGTCAGTATGTCCTTCCTTTGTAAGACTTAATAATATGTTCCGTTGTGTGTATAGACCACATTTTGTTACCCATTCATCTGTCAAATGGACACTTGGATTGCTTCCATCTTTCAGGTATTGTGAATAATGCTGTTATGAACGTAGGTGTACACATAACTCTTTGAGACCCCGCTTTCAATGCTTTTGGGTAGAGATCCAGAAGCAGAGTTGCTGGATTATATGGTAATTATATTTTTAAGGTTTTGAGGAACCACCAAACTGTTTTCCGCAGCGGCTGCACCATTTTACATTCCCACCAACAGTACACAAGGGTTCTAACTTCTTCACATCCTTGCCAGCACTTGTTATTTTCTGGGTTTCTTTTGTTTTTTTTTTTTTTTTTTTTTTTTTTTTTTTTTTTTTTTAGTGGCCCTCTGAATGGGTTTGAGGGGGTATCTCACTCTGGTTGTGGTTTCCATTTCCTTAATGATTAGTGATGTTGAGCAAATTTTCATATGCTTATTGGCTGAGTTAGCTATTTACTTACAGGCTGAATTATTTACTGTTTTCCCCTTTTTATCTGAACTTCATTTGTACCCTTGAATTTAAATAGCAGCTTTTTTTCCTTTTTTTTTTTTAAGGGCTACAGGGCATTTTACAGACCACATGGAATTTGTTACATGCTTTAGGATCTCCATTTCACCTTTAGAAAGGTTGAGGGGATAGGGTGGGGTTAAGACTTTATCCAGAGCCAATTACTGGGAGAGAACTGAGTAGAGAATGAAAACTCACCGGCTGCCCACCTCCCCACCGCCGCGCCCCCCCCGAAGGAGGGAACAGATTCACACTTGATTTCTCTACTGTTTTCAGACAACCCCCCCCTTTATGGGCAGGGGCAGGAGCCCTAGGGGCTTGTGAAACAGACGCTGGCTAATTTCTGAGGATGTGCACTTGGGAGGCTCTTGACTGCCTTTTTTTTTTTTTGATTCGTGCCCCCTGGTTTTGGTACTCTTGCTGTTGAACCAGTAGTTTAACAACAGCTCCCTGGTGACGGGTGATGCCATGCAGAAAGGAGAATGTCTCCATTTTGAAGCTAAATGAAATGTTCTTGCCATAGTTTACCTTGCGGGATTCAGGTACCTCTTCTCTCTGGTATAAGGTGACGGGGACAGTTTTGGGGATGGAGGCCAAGCCAGTGTTGCTATAGGGCATGTGGCCCTGGAATCTGTGGGGTTTGTCGCTCTTCCGCACCCTTCC